CCCTGCCATCCCACCACTAAACCCTGGCCCTAAGCACCTCATCTGTCCTTCTTTTAAATCCCTCCAGGGCTGGGGACTCCACCACCTCCCTGGGCAGCCCATTCCAGAGCCTGACAGCCCTTTTGGGGAAGAATTTTTTCCTAATGTCCAGCCTAAACCTGGCTGGTTTAGTCCTGGCACAACTTGAGGCCATTCCCCCTCGTCCTATCATCAAAGGGATAGGACTCCCCTCAGCCTCCTCCAGGCTGAACACCCCCAGCTCCCCCAGCCGCTCCTCGTAAGCCTTGTGCTCCGGACCCCTCCCCAGCTTTGTGGCTCTCCTCTGGACATGTTCCAGCAACGCAACATCTTGCTTGTAGTGAGCTGCTGGCCACACCACTCCTGATACAAGCCAGGATGCCGCTGGCCCTCTTGGCCAGCTGGGCACCCTGCTGGCTCATATTCAGCCCCCTGTTGACCAACACCCCCAGGTCCTTTTCCACCAGGCAGCTTTCCAGCCACTCTTCCCCGAGCCTGTAGCGCTGCATGGGGTTGTTGTGACCAAAGTGCAGGACCCAGCATTTGGCCTTGTTGAACCTCATACAGTTGACCTCGGCCCATGGATCCAGCCTGGCCAGGTCAATCAAGCCTGTCCAGGTCAAGGGGTTGAGGGGCCGCGAGGACACCCTGAGCACTGGGGTTTGTGTCCCAGTGCCACGGAGGACAGAAGCCTGTGGGGTGCGGTGCAGGAGCTGGGCTGGTGCATGGTGCCGGCCTAAGCAGTCCCCTGAGGTGGCCACCGGCAGGGGTAGTGCAGCATGAGCTGGGGACCCAGGTCCTACCACCATCCCTGTGACCTGCTGGGGTGGGCTCTCACCAGAGCCCTCCCAAAAGAGCCTCCTCTATGTAAAACTAAAACCCTGTCTTAGGATGCTGGGCTTTTTTTATGCTGAGGGTGGTGAGGCACTGGGCCAGGTTGCCCAGAGAGGTGGTGGATGCCCCATCAATGGGAACATTCAAGGTCATGTTGGATGCGGCTCTGAGCAACCTGGTCTGGTTGAAGATGTGCCTGCTCGTGGCAGGGGAGGGACTAGGTGGCCTGTAAAGGTCCCTTCCCACCCGAATCATTCTGTGATTCTATGATGTGTAGTGTCATTGAGTTTATGGCTCCTTGTTGTCTTGGGTCGCTCCCTATAATTCAGATCAGTGAAATTCAAGCTGTGGCCAGCCACTTGGGAAACGTAGAGTTCACATACCTGGCTGCAGCCCTCGCCTGCCTTCCCCGGGAGCAGTGCCCCAGCACGCCCTGCGTGACGCAGACCAGCACCCTCTGCACATACATCGCAGACACATGTTTGGCCGGTTTCACAGGCATGACGCGTCTCAACCCCGCGCTCCCGGTGACGTGCCAGCGAGGCTGGTACACGTAAGCAGTACAGAGGCTGGTCCCCCGGGCCTGGCATGCTGGAGCATGGGGCT